TCCTTTGCCTAGAATTCTTTTTCTCTAGCTTGTTCCCTGGCAGTAAACTCCTTTTTATCCAGTAACATTCAGCACAAAGAATACCTTCTCTCACCCCTCCCAGGCAGCAAAAAGCACTGTCACAACTCACTACTCACACTTTCATTAAGTACTAGATGCACTGCTATACTGTCTGTTTATGTTTGGCTGCCCTGATAAATAGTGAGCCGCTAAGGACAAGACTTGCACTGTACCCTTCTTTGTATCCCCTGTACTTTCCACAATGACATACTTACAGCCAAGAGAGCTGTAATATACACAAACCATATAAATCTAACACAAGGTTAAATTTTTTTTCATTCATTGCTAATATTATTTTTCCCAACTAAATGTATGATGTGTCAATATGTAAAATGGCATAAAATTTACTCCACTGGTCAGGTAGGATGATCTTCCCACTAGAAAGTAGGAGTATAACCCAGATAATCTATCAACGTTCTCTCCAAAAGAATCCATAGGATCATTTTAAGTTTTATGGTGTTGGTTTAGAAAGCAAGGATGAAATAACTTTTCTTGTTATCCTTTTCTTTTTCTTTATACTACCCAGCTTTTTATGAAGTACATGATACACTCTTCTTAAGCAAAATCTTATTAAATTAAGATACACTAAACAAACTGAAATACTTATAAATAAGTAAAACATTTGATTATATATATTTAGATATTATGTGACTGGCTGTCAAGTTTTCATTCATTCGTTTTTCATTCAACTCCTGTTCTCAAATGGGGCCTGGCTACAGTTCATGTGGTGGAGGAAAAATAGTGATAATGTGGAGGGGAGAAAAAACTTTATGGAAAATGGCAAGCAACCCTCCTGCCCCAAGAACCCAAGGAAACGGAAGGGTAGATCTTAGGATCCTGAGTACTCTTTTAGCCCAATCTCCTCAGGTTAGGTTCATAAAATAGTTGCTCACTGGGAGATTCTTAGAATCAATGGGATTGTTCTGGGAGTCTTTCATCCTGCCACAAAACCTAGAAATACCCCTGACAATATTTAAGACAAGGCAGACAACTGCCACCAGATGGAACAGGGAGAATCTGGAACTCAAAGCTGCATCCTCAGAATTCCTAACCAGGTACCTGTGGAGCTCACTCTACTGATTGCACTAACATAGAAGTAAAATGACTACTTTTTACAGGACTGAATTTTCTGAATCACACTAATTATGACAGGGTTACTTTTTTAACTTTTTATTTTGAAATAGAGATTTATATGAAGTTGCAAAGATAGTACACAGAGAGACCATTTACCCTTTAAAAAGTTGCCCAAATAGTCACATCTTACATAAATGCCATACAATATCAAAACCAAAATTGACATTGGTATAATGTGTGTGTATTCCATGTCATTTTATGATGTGTAGATAAGAACTATTCCCTCACTGCGAAAATCTCCTATGAGTTATCTCTTTATAGTCATACCCATCCAATTACCCCTCAAACTTCCCAAATCCATGTCAACAACCAATTTGTTCTCCATTACTATAATTTTGTAATTTCAAGAATGTAATATAAATGGAATCATATACTTTGTGACCTTTTGAGACTGGCTGTTTTATTCATTCCTTTTTATTGCTTATATAGTATTCCATGGTATAGAGTTTAACCATTTACATACAGTAAGGCATTTTGGTTGGTACAATTTGTGGCTATTACAAATAAAACTGGTATGAAAAATCATGTACATGTTTTTGTGTAGATATAAGTTTTCATTTTACTGAGATAAATGCCCAAGACTGTGATCACTATGTCATATGGTAGTATATGTTAGTTTTCAAAGAAACTATCAAATTATGTTCCAGAGTGTCTGTACCATTTTACATTCCTGCCAACAATTCGTGAAAAATGTAGTTTCTCTGCATCCTCACAAGCATTTCACATTGCTACTATTTTTTATTTTAGTTGTTCTTATAAATATATAGTGATAACTTATAATTTGTATTTCTGTAATAGCAAATGATGTTAAATATCTTTTCATGTGCTTATTTGCCAATATTAAAAGAAAATGTATCCTTTTTGGTAAAATGTCTCATGTCTTCTGCCCATTTTCGAATTTGATTATATTTTTTTAACTGTTGAGTTTTAAGAGATCTTTATATAGTCTACATATGACTCGTTTGTCTTCTCATCCTTTTAACTGCATCTTCTACAGAAGAAAAGTTTTCTAATTTTGATGAAATCTGAATTGTCAATTTTATTTTCTTTTATAGATCATGCTTTGGTGTCACATCTAACTATTCTTTATCAAGCCCTAGGTCCTAAAGGTTTTTTCCTTTGTTTTCTTCTAAAAAGTTTTGCTTTAAAGACAATCTATTCTCCATTGAATTGCTTTTACATTTTTGTAAAAGAAAAATAAAAAATTAACCAGTTATACTTGTGTGGGACTATTTCTAGGTTTTCTATTCTAATCCATTGATTTATGTGTCTATCCTGATGCCAATACCAGTTTTGAGTACCGAGACTATATAAATAATAAGTCTTGCAATTGGGTAAACTGGTTCCTTCCTTTTTTTTTTCAAAATTGTTTTAGCTGTTCCAATTCCTTTGCCTTTCCATATAAATTTTTAGAAATAAATATACTTTAGAATTTAGAAACTGAATTAAACCTATACATCAATTTGGGAAAATTAATATATTTATTATGTTGAATCTTAATATGTTGAACTATCTTAAAGTTGATGATAGGTTAATGTACTGTTTACTATAACTAAAATAAATACCTATTTGAAAAAGACTACATATAAATTTAACAAAGATGCCATTAAAATAAACTGGATTCATTACTGTTTTAGTTTTTAGTGACAATAACAGTTTCTGAGACTGAAAAACAATTAAGAATCTTCTGGGGATAAAAGAAAGAGAGGAAGGCAAGTAAGATTTCAAGGGAAGACCACTGAGTAATGAGGTCAGTTTTGCATTTTTCCCCGCCCATTTCTCCTATCTTCCTCTGTTCTCTAAGTCTCTTTCAAATAAAATGTGGGTCTACTGATATAATTAAAAACTAAACCTTTACTTAGTAGTAGATTAAGTCATCTTTAAAATTATATAACTAACACTTTAAGAACATAATCAAAACAATGATAAATTACTGACAAAATAAAATCGATGCTGCAAAAGAAACATGTATCTCAAAGGAGAATAATTTTACAAAGCTGAAATGAGAATATGCTAAGAATAAGACATTCTTCTTATCTACCACTAAGTAAAGAAGCAACTTCAACAAATTGTACTGAATATTTGTAAACTACAATAAACTCCTGCTTAAGAGCTCACCTCATGGATGTGAGTTACATGACTTCTGAACTAGAAGAGATGTAGTTTTTATTTTGTAGAGAGGTCAAGATCTAACCTAATTTATTCCTTGATAATATAACACTGAAAAGAAATTTGGAAGTGAAAAAAGTAGAAATTAATGATTAGAAATACCCACTATCTATGGATTTCAATGATTCCATCCATGGTTACCAAAAATATCTGAGACATAGATTTAAATGGAATTAAAAGTTTGATAAGGAGTGGTAAAAGTGCTATGGTAAAAATTTTGACTATGCTGTTTCTGTGGGGGTCATTAATGAAACTGTGGTTACATAAGATTATAAAATCAGATATAATTAGATGGGTAAAGAAACTTCAATCATTAATTCAGAAGACAGGAAAATTTGGTGACTATCTTATAAGTGAACATTCAGCACTTTTATTTCTGCTGTTTTGAAAGTAACTTTTTCAACTTTACTTAACTTTCTAAATGGTTGAGGGCTAGACAGAATTTCTGGACATTTAAAAATGGCTAAATGCTGCTACATGGCTGGTAGTGATAAGAACATAGAAAAGTTCTAATTATGCCATAGGTAGAGGTTTAACCAATAACTGGAGAACTTTTAAAAAATCGATGTTAAGGTTATTTTTTTTTTTTATCAAGGTTAATAATGTTAGCACAGGCAACAGTAATTAGAATATTCATTCATTATATACCATTTATCCTTGGGTTACACTTGTCAATTTGAATATTTCCTTGAAATAGGTCCTGCATTCCTTAGAATCATTAGGACTAGTAACTGATAACTGTATTTGATTGATTTTTCACATCTCTTGCATGTCAAAGCAAAAACCTAGTTTTAGTAAATTCACTACCAAAACGCACTGACTCAAGCAAAAGATAATCTCTCAAAATTAGATTAATAGACTTCCAATGAATAAAAGTTCTAATTGTTCACTAGGATGACGTAAAAAATTTGCAAAAATTTGAATCTTTACAAAACATGCATTGAAACAACTTTGGTTTAAGATCAAGGAGATTTAAGAAGACTGATGAAGAATCTTAAATCTTTTTATAATTGCTTTACGCTGTACTTGAAATGTAAAGAGTCCTTGCAATTTCACAGGAAGAAATGATTTTATAATCTTTTCAAATTTCTATCTCCTTTTTTATTCTGTCTTTCCTAACTTAAATTTCTGAGGAGGGACAAAGAAGAAATTAAATATTAAATAAAAATAAGATGTCAGATATGAAGGGAAAAAAAGATCAAGAGACCAAGTCAAGTAAGAAAACTAAAAAACAACATGAAATAAAATTCAGAAAACAAGGCTAAAAACCTTTGTATATATGATAGGATACTGCCATTTATGTTGCCTGAGTTATTTCTATAAAAGAAAAAAAAAATATTTGGTGAAGAATAGATCTATAACTATACCATTACTATGCCATATTCTTTACTCCAATATGCTTATCTATGTCTATGTTAGGAAGTTCATAACATAGGGGGAAAAATTCTTTTGACCAATATCAGGGTCGAACTGTAAGAGTCAAACTAAAAATCTGACTATGTTAAATAAGTTATAAAATTACCAGTTTTATCTATATTTTGGCATGTGTAAGGTAAATATTTAAATTTAAGAAGAAATCCTTTCAAGTCATCTAAAGTTGTTGGTTGAAATGTAAATGATATGAGAATTCTGGTTACCAGTTAAATTTGAAGTACCTCATCCATTATGGTGACAAAGGTGGTTTTAGCAGCTATCATTACATTCCTTTAAAATTTCAAAGTAGTTTGGATCTTTCCAAGATGTCCTTTCTTCCTCTCTTCTCATTCCTTATTTTTTGAAGACAGCAATGTTTACTGCAGGAGAAAAAAATAAAATAAAATAATAAAATAATTTAAATAAAATAAAATAAAATAGAGCAAAACTAGAGAGTAAGCAAGTTTTAAATATATTGGACATTTTTTTCCTTTAGAAAATTCTTAATTTCACCCTCACTCAATAGTTATAATTAGTCTTATTTATTTAAGAAGTAACTTCCTTACTTAGGACAGAGCCTCACACACTCAAGAACTATACATAACATATCCAAGAACCAAGGAACTTACAAGAATCAAACTAACACTGGTGCACTTAAAACTTTCTAAGACTTCATTTGGCTGTCGTTGTATATCTTTTTTTTTGGCTAGAAATATAAGAGCATCTATCTAATGAGAAATATTAAATGCTACTTCATTTTTACAAAAATCCAATTCTAAAAGTCAATGTCCAAATTTGATATAGCCTCTGTAAAATACGTAAGTAGATATCTCCAAAAGCAAAAATTTCTTTAGTCACTTTGCAGTGTTACTTTAAGCTCAAGTATGAAATGTATTTATACTTTGATATATAAAAATGTCACTTAAATTAATAAATTTCTATCTATTTCTGATTCTTGGGCACCAAGTATATGTATGTTCAAACTGGCTCAACCCCTAATTGGTTTTCTCTATATCACCAATTACAAGGAAAATAACTGGAAGAGTTAAGTAGAAAGTGAAAGATAAATGTGATTATTTTTAAATGATTCTCGATTGTGCTTAACGTATTGTAGAACTGAATCTTTCAATAAATTTTAAGACAACGAAAAAGCATTTTAAAAAGGAAGTTTTTGTGCACTATCAAGCAATATCTAACTCCGACACAATTGGGTTGTTCATGATGAAAACAACACCCAATGTTCTTAGAGTATTTATATTCATCACTTAATGTGGTATACAACATTAAGCAGTATGTAGGAGAAATAATACCAAGAATATACATATACCACTAATATATAAATGAAATGATGATGCTTGGGATCACTACACAGTGGCAATGTAAGTCTTCAAATTATGTAAGTCTTCTTTCCATTATGAGTCTCTGAAGAAGAAAAATGGAATTTATGCTGATTTTAAATTTTGAATATGAAAAAACTGAATATATAGGCATACAAATATTAGCAACCTAGAAAAGCACAGCGCGATAGAAAAGTGAAGTAATTTCCCAAGGGAAGGTGTTTGGCAGGTGACTAAACTGAAATGAGAACACAGATCTCTTTTCTCCCAGTGCAGCGTTCTATTATCTTCCTATAATTCATCCTGCATTCTCTCTTCTCAGCCCCCAAAATTGTGTGTTTGTGAATATTTTATTCTTGGACTTGTACGTATTCCATCATAATATAGCCATTGAAAGCTTACCCAACAATGTAAGAGATAAAGAGACATAAAGTGTTTAATTAAATCTTCACATTTTAAACGTGTAATTTATAGACGGGATAGTTGTGTCTTATATTTTTCTCTAGTCTGAAAATTCCTGACTCTAAATTGGAGAGTTTAGTTCATCAATATTTATGTAATTAATGAAATGACTGGGTTCATAACTACCATTTTGCTGTTATCTATTTCTATTGTTTTCTGCTTTTGTTTTGTTTTGATCCTGTTCTGCCTTTTTCTGTTTTAATTTCAGTTAATCAAATATTTTTAATGTTTTAATTGCTCTTCTTTATATCGGGGAAGGGTGACACTCTAAGGATTATTTATAATATGCATCCTCAAATTATCACAGTCCACTTAAAGTTAATATTGAACATCATGCAAAGCTAAGAACCTTGCAATGGTATAATCTATTTACTACAATATCCTTTTTGCTAATGTCATATATTTCTACATGTATTATAAAACCTTATAATGAGTAGTTTAAGTAGTTAGCTTTCTATTAAAGTAACATGAGGAAAAAGAGATAAATTGTTTATATTTATCATTCTTGGTGGTTTTCATTTTTTCCTGTAGAACCAAGTTTCTATTTAATATCACTGCCCTTCAGCTTACTCTCTTTTATTATTTCTTATATTGCAGGTCTGCTGACAATGAATTATCGAAGTTTTTATTGATCTGAAATGGTCATTATATTACCTTCATTTCTGAATGTTATTTTCATTGGATATAGAATTCTGAGTTGAAAGTTTTCTTTTTTCCTTACAGCTCTTTAAAGATGTCATAGTTTTCTGGCTTCCATTATTCTGATAAATTAGCTATTATTAATAGTATTGTTACCCTATTTCTTTTGATTTCTGGTTGTTTTTAAGACTTTATCTTTGTTTTTCAGGAGTATGACTAATATATGTCCAGATTTGGCTTTCTTTGTATTTATTCTTCCTTTGGGTCACAGAGTTTTTTGGTTCTGTAAGTCTTTTGCTAAATTTGAGAAGTTCTGCTAAATTTGAGAAATTTTCAGCCATTATTTCTTTTAAAAAATTTTCTGTACCATTTTCTCTCTTTACTTCCTGGGATTTCGACATATGTAAGTTTGATTCTTGTTATTGAGGTTCGTTTTTAAAATCTTTTTTCTCTTTGTTCTTCAAGTAGGATAATTTCTATTGATCTGTCATCAAGTTCATTGGCCCTTTCTTCAGCCATCTCCCGTCTGATGTTAGGTCTAGATAGTGAATATTTCATTTTAGGTATTATATTTCCAGTTCTACAACTTTTTTTTTCTTTTTTAAAAATAGTTTCTACTTGTCTCTGCGGAGAGACTGGTTTCATTCAGTAAGTCCTCCTTTTTTGTTATTTTTGTTATTGATCATATTCATAATAGTTGATTTAAAGTTATTGTTTCCTGACTCTAACATCTAGATTGACTCCTTTTTCTCTTAATTATGGGTAGTATTTTCTTGTTATTTCACAAGTAATAACTTTTTTGCTGCAAAAAGACAATATGGATGATAAGCTATAGAAACTCTGTATTTATCTTACTTTGAAGCATGTTGATTTTTCTTCCAATAGGTAGTTAAATACTGACTGCTCATCTTGTACTTGTGGATTCTTGGCTTTACACTGTGTTACGGAGGATATGTTTCAGTTTTGCCCTTTGTCCTAGAACAAATCTCTTAGGCTTTGAACATCTTTACTTCTAAGACAGGACCCTTCTGAGATTTCAATAGAAACCCTGATATGTTTGATAGGACTCAAACTCCAAATGTGATCAGAAATACCACCTCAACAACTTCCCATGTCAGCTCTTAGTTTCCACTAGGCTCTATGGAGTCTCCTCTATACATGTGAACTTAAGGATGAGCAAAAAGAATTGAAAGGAATACTTGTGAAAATTTTGAGGCTCTATACTCTGTCTCTCTCTTTTCTGGGGATTTTTACCACTAAATTCCAGAACAACAGGCATGACTTGAAAGGCTTGTGGATTACACAGCAGTAATATATCAACGTTGATTTGCTGATTGTGATTATTTTATCTTAGTTGTGTGGAAGAACATTATTATTGTTGTAGAAAATATACTCTAAAGTATTCAGAGGTGATGAGGTATAATATCAGCAATTTATTCTCAAATGATTCAGGAAAAATGATCTGTACTATTATTACAACTTGTGTATAAATTTGAAACTATTACAAAATATAAAGAAAAAAATTAAATGTATCAACAGACTCTATCACATTTTTAAAATGTCTAATACTGTTAAATTCTTCAAGAAAAAATAGTTTACCATAAGGCAAAGTCAAACTTTTACTAATTCTATTTAATGGACTTGCTTTTAAGTGACAAAATAATGAAGACATGTTTTAGTTAGATTTAGTAGAGAAAATATTATAAATTTAAGTAGCCAAAAAGGAACTGTACCTCAAAAAATTACTTTCAATGAATAACTATACCTTTGTTAAAAAAGACTTAACTACTCAGGAGAGGATTACATGAAGTAATGTAGTTCATTACATTGTACAAAAATACTTCTAGAGTTATAGTTCTTAATATTTTGGGTGAAGCGTGAGTGGTAAGAAATACAAAACTATGAGAATCTGATAAAAGCTATGAACTGTATCACCAGAAAAATGCACATACATGCATCATATTTTGCATATAATTTTAGCTGAGTCATGAAACCCAGCCATGGATCCTGTGAATCTCTAAAATCTATTAGTAGACTTCAAGCAACTTCTGTTTTTGAATTTTTCAAAATAATGCACTTACAGGATTTTAGAACCTTAAGTAAGTTCACAATCTAATGTAAACTGCTTATAGAAAAATAAAGAAACAATAGACCACGAAGATAAAAAGAATTAAGTAAACCTTACCACATTCAGTTGGACTTTTGGTCTAAACACATAACAGATCATCAGTGGTGGTAAAAAGAATGAAATTTATATTGATGTGTGAAAGTTATATAGATAGATGTATAAAGCTGAGTTATATAGATTTGTGTAAAAGGTGATCGAGTTACTTAATCTTTCCTATCTTCGGGTTCTTCAAAAACAAAATGAAATATAACACTTACCCTGGTTGAATTATTTTTAAAATAAAATCAGATAACATGTATAAAGAATTTAATACAGTTCCTAGTACATCGTAGGTGCTCATGAAATGACACGATTTTTAAAATATTCCTTGTCAAGTCATAGAATTGGATAAAATATAAAATAAAATCTCAAAGTAAATGAGACGGTTTCCAGCTGAACAAAGTAAGTGCCAAACATTTACTAAGTATCTAACTATATAATATACTATTCAAGGTATTACTGAGGATACAAAAAGGAAGTTGTCCTTCTCTCAAAAGGAATTAGGCAAAGACAGAGCTTTTTCCTTCTTAGTTTCTTTCCTGGGTTCCTTTTTTTTTCCTTTTCCCTTAGGATTCAACTTTTTGCCCGCTTCATACGCTACCCACATTCTCTGTGCCCCGACTAGGACTAGGAGGACCTTCATATGAATATCCCTAATCCTGACCTTCCACCTAAGTTTCAGTCTCCTATATCCTATTACTTACTGGATGTTTCCACCTGAATGTACCATAGTTAAATTAAGTAAGTTCAAAGCTGAGCTGTTGATCTTTTTCTA